TGTCTATTTATCCCCTTCCTTTGTTTATTGTAAGCCGCCCGGAGTCCTTCGGGAGTGGGCGGCATACAAGACCAATAAATTCAATTCAATTCAACTTTGGGAACTGCAGGAACAGGTTCCTGCGCACAGAAAGACTTACTTTAGTATTACAGAAATTAGGATGCCACAATCATACAAAGACTAGTTGGAAAGAGCCATTTAGCTTACTGAGTCCAGCCACTTTTTTATGCAGTTAAAAGCATCAATGATGAACTGCTGTCCAGATTCTACTTGAGCATAATACAGGTGAGTCCCACCTCTCTGAAGTATTAATTCTATTTTAAATTGCTTTCAAATTTAGGAAATCCATACTTATATTTAATCAAACTCTGCCTCCAAATAACTTACATTCATTATTCCATAATATGCTCTGCACATGAAAAGATAATAAAGATCAGGTCCTGGTTTTCTTCTGACATATTTTCAGGTACCTGAACTAGTGTATTTCATTCCAGTCTTCTCAAAATTAAATATTCCCAGTTCCTTATCAAGGAACATGGCTTCTAGAAGTATACTTTCTTAATCTGTTCCTAGTTTGTCTCAATCCTCCTTCTATAGAACTGGACACAAAATGGAAAAAAACTAACCAATAATGGTGGAATAATGTAAAACAGTTTTTCCTGTAATTTAGAAAATATATTTTTGCTGATGAAGCAAAACCCATTCATAATTAGCTTGGAATAGCTTTTATTCCAAAATCTCTATCACAAGGATTACTGCCAAGCTCTTATTTTATATCAGTACATGTGATAAACAATTCCAGATTTTCATTAAATTTTATTGTTGTTTTCAGCCTATTTTCTCACCTACCATTGCTTTCAAATTTGTGTCTTCTTTAACATCTACCCAATTCCGTGTCTTGGACAATTTGATAAGCCTTGCATCCACCCAGTTATCAGTCAATAAAAACTGAATTCAAAATTAACTATAACAACTATGAAGTGCTAAACTACTAGAAGTTCTTCTTGATAAAAAAAAAATCACTAAGTTATTAATATAAATCAGGACAGAGATTGGTTTAATATGGAATTCATTCTCCAGTTCTGCATCTATAAATAATTTTGCTTCCTATACAGACATTGGGACAAATACGCTAGGGACAGTAAACTTCTTATGGAGAAAATTGGAAAATAAACTTCGTATTGAACTAGTGCAGAAACTAAAAACAAACAGCAACTGCAGATTTTGTATAAATTCATTCCACTGCTTTTAACTTTATTTGCTGTATGTAATGTGCATGCTATGAGTTGTTTTTAAAATTGTAATCTCAAATCAAGCATCAAGATAAAATGGATTGCTTCAGCCACAGTTTTGTGTAAATGTATACATTCAGTAGGAAAAATCATAGCCTTATCAAATTCAACGCAAGCATATTGCTTTCTAAAACTTTTTGCCCTATTTCTTCTCTTTGACACATAAATGTATTATGTCTATTAACAATATTTCCTTGCCAATGGCTATTGGGCCATCAGCAGTCTTACATGCTCAGGACTCTGGAGAAATGTGAAAAAGTGCTTTGCTAGCAACAGCAACATGAAATATGAATTGCAAACAGCAACACAGCACCAGATAATGCTGATAGAGGACCCAGTTATTTATAAAGAAATATTTGTGTGTATGAGTGTATATGTGTATATACATAGCATGTGTGTTCACACATGTATGCTCCCTCTCCCTCTGACCCCGCCCCCACAGAGGGTCTGTTATTTAAGTTTATACTATACATAGAGAATTTGTATTCTGAACTCATCCATACTAAAAACAATCCATTCATTTGCATTTACAGAAGTGTACATAAGAAAAAAAGAGCTATATTACATAATATATTCAAACATATTATTTGAGAAAGAGCATATATATTATTTGAATTTCAGCATCACCTTGCAAAACACAGATTTGCTATATCACCACCTCACTACCACTAAGGCCATCAGGCTGAACAAAAGTGATTACATTCCTGTTTCTCCTTGTCTGAGACACTGGCTAGTGGCACGATAAAATAAATCATTATTTCCTCAAAATGCCTTACATGCTTTCTTTGCCTGATGTAACATGTCATCATATCTCAACCCCATGTTGGCATGCATAGAACAGAAGCCTGAGAATGCAGCAGGCCTATGTGTGACAGTAATATGTGACGTACAAGAAAGAATCATGGGTGATGAGCATGATACACGTTCAGGTTACAATGAAATTTGATGCTCAGGCAACAGAGAAGGGCCTAGTTCCCTTGCTTGAGCACAGATGTTCATGTCTTCTTTCCCCAAGGGAGCCCTGTCAATTTCTAAATAGGAATCTTCCTAGAAACACTCTGTGGGACAAGCAGCTGCAGGCAGTAGCAAAACCAGCCCAACTCCCATAAGGCCCCCTAGAAATGTCTTGCAAGGAGAGGAACATGTCTTACCCCAGCTTCCTAAGGACTTCAGTACTTCTTTTTTTAACAGCAATACAAGGGTCTGGACAATTACACAAACAACCATGGCTTCTCACCCTCTGTTGCCATGACTTTAGGAAACACCTAAATCAGACTTTAACTGCAACCTAGATGAAGCATGAATGGCACCAGAAAAAGACTGTGAAACTGCTTAGTAGCCATTGCAGAGCACCTGAGAGGTTCATTTAAAAATAAAAATTCAATTTTATTAAAATACTGCTGGTGCTGTCTCAAGGCCTATGTAGTCCTACATCCTCTCTTCCCACCCACCCCACCCCCAATATTGAATAGCTACTATCTGGATGCCAAAGATGAAATTCACAACAAAGATCGTGTTCATATTCCCTTGTAACTGATATATAGCAACCTGGTTAATAAAAATATCTTAATACACATTATGGTTTTCTGATTTGTGACTGGGATCATAAATGAAGCTACCTATTTATTATTTTTTTTGGAACAAATTCTTACAGAAGTTTACTGTGGTACATGAACCAGATGCTTGGATACTTCAAATAATATACTATGTTCATGTTTAACAGCATTCATAGTCTCAACTTTGGAAATGTCCAAGTTGGTCAACATCACTATATTTAAATTTTATTATGGACTGTGTTAAAAGTTATTTTCTTTTATTTGTCCTGAATTTTCCACTGCACTTCATCAGAATCCACAATGTATTTATAAGAAAGAAACCTTATCCATGTACTCCACTATGCAGAATTTGATAGTTTTATTGCATATTTTCTTCCTCAGATAGTGTTCATTTATTTGCCATGGTAACATGCCAATCTATACTAACAAATGCTATCTGTGCTTTCTATTAAGCAAATACTCCTGTGGTAGGAGGGAGGGGGGGGGGGAAACAAGGATCTGTCTTCCATTGTTTAAAGGAGTTTATTAACTCCACAAAACTAAAGATGTTTCTTTTATAAATGTTAAAAGCTACAATGTGTGGACTCAACAATGTCTATCTGAGCCAGTGTATCTCAACTTGGATGCTCATCCAGAGACTTTCAAAATTGGTAAACCCTTAAAATTTTAATTTCAACTTTATTTGTTGCCTTTATTACTTCTTCGTATCTAAACAGTTGAGAAAGTCTAAGCTCACTTCTTGCTGCCATCCTTCATTTTTATAGTGCACTCACTGTATCCTTCCATGGTAATTGCAAAGATTTGTCACATCTGAGCATACTATCCTTATCCATTATATACAGCTTCTAAATGTCTTTGTAGGGGTGGAGGCAGGGAGGGAAGAAGAAAAAAGGAAATCAATTTAACTCTTTATGACACCTTGCTTTTTCAAGGTTATTTCCTGTTCTTTAAGAACAAACTTATTATTTGGAATAATGTTTCAAACCACTAGTACAGAGAAGAAACTCTTTAAACAGGGCTGGGCTATACTGTAGTTAAAGTAGTGCTTTGATTGCATAAGATCCACAGTATTCAAATCAAATCCAAACAAAAAAAATTAAATTCCATGGAAAAAAATAAACTGCAAACAGTAATTCTGAATGTATTATGTTGAATTTATATGTATTGTATTTTTCGGACTATAAGATGCATTGGAGTGTAAGACGCACCATGATTTTGAAGAGGTGATTTTTTTAAAAAAAAAATGCATTCTGCAGGCCTCCCAAACCCTCTGCACGCCTCATTTTTTGCGCGCGCGCGCACACACACACACACACACACACACACACAAAGGCATGCAGAGCTTTGGGCTGTTCTTAGAGTGCTCCTGGGGGCTGGGGGGGGGGGAAATGAGAAAAAAAGGCCCATTTGTTTTGCAAAAAAGGGGCATGCAGAGGCTTTGGAAGGCTTGTAGAGTGTCCTTAGGAGCTGGGGGGGGCAAAAATGGCCCTTTTTTGCCCTCCCCAGCCCTCAGGAGCACTTTGCAAGCCTCCTAAGCCCTCTGCATGTCCATTTTTACAAGGGGGGGTGGGGTTTTGGTATGCCAAAAATGCTGTATTCAGTGTATAAGATGCACCCAGATTTTCACCCTCTTTTTTGAGGGAAAAAGGTGTGTTTTATACTCTGAAAAATACGGTAAATGAAGTTGGAAGACACCAGAATATCAACTGACAGCAAACCTCATTCCTTACTAGGACTGATGATGTTACCTAATTAGGGTAATGAAACGTCTGCAAGAAAACAAGCAAGTTCAGAGAGCACCCTCATTTCAACCCTGAGCTACAAATATTCTCCTTTAAATCTTATCCCAGAAATAATACAATATGGTACAATGTTGAATATATTACTAACACATAGAAATGTCTGAACTATGTTTTTTAAGTGCAATTTTGTAGTCACTTGCCTGAGTAAACTTCACTGAATAGAATGAGACTGATGATTATATATAAAAAATGTGGTAAGTTAAATCTTTGATGTTAATTAGAAAATAAACGTATATATCAAGATAAAGGATATAACCATCTGAATCTCAAATCTTGACACTCCAATTTCTTGTTAGCTAGCACTGATTTTCTGCCTCACTTTCTGAAGTGAGTCTTCCCTGATGTATGCCATTTAAAGTAAGATAACAAATTTATTTAAGGTGACTTGCCAAGGGGGAAAAAGTCAAACTTGCTTTCTGAGATTAAATGGATCTGCTGATTTTGAAAGAGCCTGGATTACATTGCATCTTCTTGTAACCCCTTAGAGAAATTTAAATGCCCCCAGTTTTAGTGCAAATATGATTTGAATATTATACTTCTCAGCAACACTGATTTTCAAGTGGGTCATCCCATATGGAACTTACCTATTTTATTTATAAAATGATTTCATAGCTTTTGGAATATGTAAACACAAACACACTCCACTTTGAGTCAGCTTCAAAGGCTCTCCAAGGAGGAATCTTGCCTGTTTAGACCCAGATGCACATAAACTTCTCACAGATCAAAAAGCTGTAATCATTTGCCTTGATTTCCTTGGTGGTGGTAATAGTGAGTTGTAGGCAGACTCAGGATTAAAAAAAATATTGATTTTTCCAGGGGGTCAACCCTTTAATTATGAAGTAAAACACTTATGTTTTGAAACTAAGTTATAAGATTGTTAAGTTAGTAAGTGTTGCAAAAATAAAACCCACAAGTCTTATAATAGGAACGTTATGGCATAAGAAGATAATAATTAGAAAATAATTCTCTCTACCTCAGATACATGCTAGCAAATTCAAGTTACTCTGGTGGAGGAATTAGTAAATTTCCCCACCTGCTTGACATAAACTGTCTAAATGTTGATATCATGGCACTCTGAGTAAGCCTTTTATTAACTTAGCTTCTGCAATATTCTTTTCCTGTCAAAAAATAGAATGTTTTACTCCAGGGGAGAAATGAAATGTGATGATTATCAACAATACAGTCATGGAAATATCAGAGTTTCATGGTATTGCTCCTAGACATCAATGAAAAAAAATGGAGGACAGGTAATGGTGCAGAAAAATGCAAAATTTAATTCATTTTCAGCCGATGAGAATCTTGCCTTCCCTTTCAAGCATGAAGGGAAAAAGCCATGCCACAAGCCATGCAGTACAGGTGACATGCATATTTTAAAAATCATATCTGACACAGTTAGTAAAACAAAAATCAAACTGCTTTTCTGATGTGAGTACTGTATTTGCGGTTGGGTACTTTTGGTAGCCAAATGGCAGCTAAATGGCAGTACAGGAAAAAAAAAATCTGTCAAGATTCCACAGCAAGTCCAGTTGATACGGCTACCTACCCGTACTGGTCAGGCTGATGCATCATGGGACCCTGAGCGTTGCCATAGTTGGGGTGCTGTGAAGAAAACATGGGGCGTCCGCCAGCCCCAGACTGGCTGGGATAAGCAGGCGACCGAATGTATGGTGGCCTAAAGCAGAACAAAAGAACAACTTCTTTGGATTTGTATTGGACCACAAGCTTGGACCTGATGGCAGGATTCTTCTTGTTTGGAAAACAGCTGTATTGCTTTCTCTTACTCTCTGGCAATAAGTAGAAAAATGTGGTTCTTGCCTAGCCTTAAATGGTGGAGTTCATCTCATGTCTGGAGATTCTAAGTCATCCAGCTTATGCTTGTCCCAAAGGTGCTTTTTCAGGAGGCAACTGGACTTTGTTTTTTCTTTGAAGACGTTTCGCTTCTCATCCAAGAAACTTCTTCAGCTCTGACAGGATAGTGGGGAATGGAAAGATTTTTCTGCAAGGAATATAAATCCTTCCATTCTCCACTTCCATTCATGTCAGAGCTGAAGAAGCTTCTTGGATGAAAAGCGAAACGTCTTCAAAGAAAAAACAAGGAAGTCCAGTTGCCTCCTGAAAAAGCCCCTTGGTACTCCCTACAGGTGTTTTCTTTTTTGCTATAAAAGTATAGTAATGACTTAGCCTTTCCTTAGGTAAAGAGTAAAAGAGGGTTTGCTAGGAGATGAAAAAAATATAAAGCACTGTATCATAGAAAATAGAAACTGAAAAGCAAATTCTAAAAAAATGGAGTTGCAAGATGCCTCATTTATGAACCTAAATGCTACATATATCTTACATTAGTTATAATTATTTATATCACAATTGATGCTGTGAAATGCAACACTTGATTGTACTGAAAATGGCCTTCTTTTAAAATTAAGAGTTATTTTTGTTTTTACACCCAGTTTTCACTTCTGAAAAATATGGATTGTTCAAAGCAAAAGAAAAGAAAAAAAAAAAACACTAAACCCACCAGCCTGCTAAATTGCACAGGCTTTCAGTTATTTTTATGAAACTGTTGGTTTTACATATTAAGAGAACACATTAACAAAAACTAAATTGCTGTTTTATAAATTATATTCCTCACAGTTCAAACAAGATATACATTCTTAAAGTAATAAAACAAAGGTCAAGCAATCTAATAAAATATTCTTATCCTTTCTGGTAGTAATGTGATTATCTGCATTTTGAGCACTTACTGGTAATGTATATGGAATGCAATGAATGTTTTTTTAAAAAAAGAATATCTAATGTTTATACTTTTCAAGTATTATAAATATGCATGCTGTTTTATATGCATGCATTAAATATACAGATGCATATAATAGTAACACAGTTTTGCAAAGTAATCATGACATTCATTTTTCTCTTAATGATATTTCCACTTATTTTAACACAGTGAAACCAAAAGATACAACCAAGAACATGAATTCATGTGTTTGCAATAGGTGCCTATGGGGGAAGGAAAGCATGTGCAAACACAGTCTTTGCATTGTTTGTAGATCTTAACAAACTTCAATCAATAGTTTAAAGGTCTGGAAATATTATTCCAGAGGTAGGAGGCTACAGTTATTGGATCTAGAAATCAAATAGATGACTTGTCTGTTTCCTTATTCTAAAATGACCGGAGAACCTGTGTACAGAAATCTAGATGCTGGACCCACTTTGTTTCTCAGGATGGCAGATGCCAATCAGATATTCTAATTGATTTACAAAGATTGGCCGTCATTGAGTTCTTTTGCCAAAGGCTGCAGATAAATATTCTGAAAGCTTAAGATATCTTGCTTATCTTTCCAGTAATGCTGCCTTTTTCCCACAATTTATCTCATCAGCTTTCCCAACAATTTATTGTACCACTTGCATAGATTTAAATGTATTCTTTCAGAGGCTAGATGCAAATAGTTTTTGTTTTAAACAGTGGGATTTCCGCCTCTATTTATTTTTTGCTTTCTGAGAGAAAACATGCTATAAAACCTCCAACACTCACCCTTGTCGTTTTGGTTTGGTTCAGCCCACTCTACTGTTCTCTTTCTTTTACACACAAATGTGTTTTACTTAGCATGGACATTGTCAGTGCTTTCAGATCCTTCCCCTTGGAAGCGTACCTGCTCTGGGCGGAGTTGGCAGCAGCTTGCATCACTGCTGCAGCTGCCTCCTGGGCCTTACGGTTCACAGTTGGCATGGGTGGCCCCATCCCAGGGCCTCCTTGCTGAGCCATGCCCGGAGAACTGGGTGTCATACTGCTCATATTTCCAGGAAACGGTCTGCTTTGCATCACAGTTGATGGCATTCGTCCCAAGGGAATGGTACCACAAGGCTGGCCTGGACCCTGTCCATGCATCTGGTTGCTGGCGTTTATACCCATACCAGGTCCTGGTCCACTGTAACTTGCGTTGGTCACTCCAGAGTATGTTGACTGTCTGGAGTAGTTCCCTAAACAAAACAATATAGAAGAGGAAAATAAAGTTACCAGTTCTGAATCTATGGAAAGAGCCCTCTGGAGAAAGCTCTGTACATTACAATTATTTAAGCAGGGCAAAATATGCCCAAGTATTCTTAGTTAGTATTCGGTATCTGTCAGGCATTAGCATTGCTGGATCTATTATTTCTGAAACGTATGTGCCTACATCAATAGGGATATATATATATATATATGTGTGTATGTGTGTGTGTGTGTGCGCGCGCTGATAAATAAATAAAGGGAGACTAGTATAGATCTATTTCAAGCTATTTAGCTCTCATCAGCTAGCCATACCCTTACTGGGATTCGAACCTGTGCTGTATTGCATCTTAGGCAAACGTCTTAGCCATTAAGCCACAGGTCTCCTCCTTATCAGCTGAAGCCAGGGAAGAAGGTATATATTTAGAGTCACAACCCCTGGTAAACCCCAATTATGGGAGGAAGCTAACTGCTTCCATCATCTGTCAATCGGCTCGTCACAAGAGTCCATCACGACAGAAACCCAATATTTTTACTGTTGCCTTTGTTATATTTGTGTTTTTTTATTTGTGCTGATAAATAAATAAATAAATATTGTGCTGATAAATAAATAAATATGTGGAAAGCCTGGTAGACGAATGTGAACAAAGGCAATAGCACTTGGATCTATATACTGCTTCATAGTGCTTTACAGAGCAGTATTCAGAGTCAGCATATTGCTCTCAACAATCTAGGTCCTTATTTTACTGACCTCGGAAAGTTGGAAGGCTGAGGCAACCTTGAGCCAGTGAAAAAGTAGGCCGTGGGGGAAACAGTGGCTGCCTTGTTAATCATCTTGCAGTAGCCAGAGCCACAGAATGGAAAATGCAGAGGTAGCAACAGAATGACACAAAGGGAGAACTCACAATGATGTAGCGGGCCTGGTACAAAATGGCTCCTTCGCCTTGTTCTTTTCCTTTTTTTTAAGATTTCACTGAGGAAGACTCCCACAATGAATATACCCCTTCATACACATTCTACTTTGTGTAAGAGATAGACAGCAGAACAAGTGTGGCATCTCATCTTATTATATAATTCACTTTTCCTTTTTAATAAGACATCTAGGCTGTGGGTTGTTTCTTACACTGACTGATAATGGGATCAGAATGCCCCATGCTTAAACATTACAGCCCCATTCTATCCTTTAAAAGAAATCAAACAGCATTATACATTTGGTTTCAGAAGGCAAGGATACACATGTGATTGGCATGTTGGGTTCTCACCAGGGAAACATTTATTTAATGTATAGACTATTTGCCCCATTCCAAATGAGTCTGCACTACTTTACAACATTAAAAGAACAATAAATAAGAAACAAGCTCTAGTGCCTGTCCAGATTTTGTTTGTTTTTTAAAATGTAAGATAAAATTTATCTTAAATGTTTAACTCCTGGTGACTACAAGTATTTATCCATGCTGTTCTTGGCAAGAAGCTTTTTTCTAGGCATCTGATTTCCCAGTGTAATGTCCAATTTTAGGATTTCCTGGTGGTTCCCCAACCAAGTCTTAATTGGATTCAGCAATCTTCTTAATCTAAACCTCCCACTCTACTGACGTTCCTGCAAAGCCTTAGGTGGTCACTCAAGTATGATGGATAGTTACAGGTAATTATCCACTTACAACCATTTGTTTGGCCACAGTTCAACATTGCAAAGAAACTGAAAAAAGTGACTAGTCCTCATACTTCAACCATTACACATGCAATCTGGTCACTTGTCAACTGGCTTGCACTTATGACAACTACAGTATCCTTCAGTCACATGATTGCCATTTGTAACCTTCCCAGCCACTTTTTGAAAATCAAAGTCAACAAAGAAGCTGGCAGGTCACAAGTTGCAGATTGGTAATGTCTCCCTTAACAAATGTACCACTAAATGACAATTTTTACAGTCCCAATTTGGTCATTAGTTGAATATTATTTGTATTTTGCTCCCATTTAGCACTTTTTGATACAAGTGAAATCATAATTAACAGAATTAGTCTACACTTTGCTATTTGCACCATGCTTACACCTATCTATTAAGAATCAGGTTTTATTCTGCACAACCGTGTTTGCTGAAAGCAACAAAAATGTTTCTATGTCTATCAGAGGTCAAACAGAAAACTACGTCTAACTTTTGTCTTGGCTATTCCTGATTTGGCATTTCACCTTAAGAATTTCCTATATACTGTAACTGCAAGGTCACCATATAGCAGCTATGAGGAAACTTGGGAAGAAGACTACAGACTAACAGATCTCATAAACCTTTCATTCCCTAATCCTTCTTTACATAACTTTTAACCAAATATTGCATTCAGAATGACATAATAATTAAAACAGATATAAGATAAGACAGCAGATTTAGTGTCTGCATTATAAAGTACAAAGCTTCTGTTAAATAGAAACCCGGGTATCAATAATGTGATAATATTTAAGAAGAAGAAAAAAAGGTAGACTTCTTTCAACACCTATATAAATACCAACAATAAATGACAGAGAAAACCAAGAAAGAAAAGTACAAATTTCCATGTTTTTCTAATAGATTCATAATTTGCTGGCAGTGGCTTTGACAGCAAGCAGATGGATGCACCATTAGATTCAATGAATGGAGCAGATGCTGAGCTAGTCCCCATCAGCTGGGATATCAGGCAGCCAAGTGCAAAAAAGCCCACACTTTTTAAGTAAGTACTCTTTGGCACAACAGCCTTGGAACGTTAATAAGCAGCCTATTCTTTCTTCAACCATTTCAGCTAATTAGAATGAAATCCAGAGGATTGGAGCCTCATATGGAGGAAGAAACTAAGTTGCTTAGCACTGGAGCTTACATGTATAAGGAAGCCAAAATATAAAAAAGAAAAACATTAACATTCTCTTATAAATAAAATTTGAAAGAAAAAAATAGGAGTTTAAAACTTTGTTTTTCCTTGCTATGTTTATTTCCTATGTGGCTCAGTTTAAATTGGCTTTGCAGAATTTTGTATTAAGGGCCAAATTAAGAAACATGTTGTAACTCCAGTTTGATTTCAAGCAGTTTCAGCATCCCAACCTTTTAAAACCTTTCATTGCCTTTTACATGATAATATCTGGCAAATAATTAGATATATTAAATGTGCACCAATAATGTGGGTTAGCTAAACTTATTTGCAAGTCCTTTTGGACAAAATCTGTTTTCTTATCTATGAAGCACATGCCCAATTTTAGGTGCTAAAATAATAATAAAAATATCCCCAGTATCAAAGAAACAAGTTATAAAACTGACTTTATTTCTGTAAAAGTTTTCTACACAGATTCTAGGAAATTTACTTGTTATGTACCATACTATTCATTCATTTGCCAATGAACTTTCACCTTATAAGTTAAAATTAAAAACAACACTAGGTTCATACACACATGAACTTAGAAATGAGTCATGTGGTTTTTAAAATTTAGCCTAATACAAATTGCAAATAATTTCTTGTCTGCCACCTGCTCATAACTTCTGGCAGCCAAAACATTGTATGTGAACTGATAGACACTATTATTCAAATACTGGGCTTAATATGCAACAATAGCAATGTTCCGAAAGTGGTTTTCACTTCTTATTTACACTTTAAAGTTACAAGTGCTTCAGAAGTTATGAATTAAAACCATGGAAATTAATGTTTTTTATGTTTCTCATTCTTGCCTGAAGCCCAGATATTTATTGCAGTGGCACATGCGGCATAAAACAAGCCTGTGCTGATGTATGTGGAATGGTGAAAGATGATGCTTTCAGAATTCAATAAGAAAACAGAAGCTCAGGAATAAATGATTAATTGCAGCAGGTTGTTTTCTTCAACACTAGCATCTATTCTAAAACTAAACCATTCGTATTATTTAGGATTTTAAATCTGAGCTGAATTCTACAAATCAAAATAGAAATTCCAGTTGCACAATTGCTGTCATTCAGCAAGAAACCCATTTCACAATTCTGAAATGTCACAGCACAGATATTACATAGCAGGATTTTAATCAGAAAGTAATCATTTTTGGCTGATTCCAAATCAATTATGGGAACTAAATACCACAGATTTATAGTGCAGAACTTTTTAAAAATACAAACTGCAGAATGTAGAGGTTGGCTTGTGTGTTTTATTATGACAATGATCTACTTTTACTTATTCACTTTTTTCCAACACCTACATGAGGTCTCTGGTTGAGCTCATCCATCACCACAGGGTGAAGTATTGTCAGTATGCTGGTGCTACCTAATTATATAATCCATCCTGGAAAATTAAGTAATATCATGACCATCTTATCCTGGTATCTGGAACCTGAGCAATGGGAATATCTCCACTAGAAGAACTCTTTCTCCCCAAAATGTAAGCTACAAACAATGCGTGTTTAATGTGGCATGTACTGCTTTTCACACACAAATTCAGTTAGATAGCTCCATGGTAAATTGCTGAATAATGCAAACTGCTCCAGCTGTTTATATTCACAACATACAATAATTTCAACCACTTGACAGCTAACAAAACTGTTTACTGCAAGAAATATTTCTTTATTGGTTTGAAGGTTATTTACAATCCACTTGTGTAATTTTAATTCATTTTTATTCCATATATTTCTTTGGGATGGGAAACAAACATTGGTCTAGTACAAAAACCATCCTGGCAATGAGACCTAAACCTTTGTTGATGTACTGCCCCCCCGCCCTTCAGTTGTTAGATGATTTGCTTCCTGGAAGCCTGTCCAAACCATGATCCAAACCTGTTTCAAAGACTATCTATTTTGAAATGCTGCTGTATTACAAGTTTCATTCCCCCCCATCTACATGAAATCTGGTTAAGAATCATAGAATTGAAGTCCAACAATATTTGGGGATCTAAATATTTGCCTATAAACATCTTCTATTACAAACAAGAACATAAAATAAGGGCACTGAACACAGGGCGGGCCATGACAGGGAAACAGAGAGTGTATGTTGAGGAATTTTAAGAATTCCCATATACTTTAAAATGAGAACAGTATTACTATTGTCTTTTCCTATCAATAACTGATTTATCTAGAACCAATCTCTATTTATGAATCATCCATAACTGAAATTAACATATTTAAAAAGTATACACTATTGCAACATCTCTTTAAGCAAAAGAACTTGGAAATGTATTTATTTTTATTTTATCAAATTTCCACACTAAATACTTAATCCTCACTTTAAAACGCAAACTAGCACAACAAAATTATTTTGACTGACAACAAGCTTATAATTGTTATATCCAGAAATACATAATTTTATCTCACCACCAAATAAATGAAGGAAATAAAAATAAAAATCCAATTTGAAACACCACAAAAATGAAGACTTCATATCATCAAAGGTAGTCCTTGACTTACAGTCAAAATTGGGACTGGAACTTTGGTTGTTAAATTGTTGCAATTGTTAAGCAAGTGATCACATGACCAGACCAATTTTATGACTATTTTTACTATGGTTGTTAAATGAATCAGGCTTTCACAATTAATTTTGATTTTGGAAGCCTGCTGAGCAGATAACAAACATGACTGTAAGATGTTGCAACTGTTGTAAATACCGGGCAGGTTGTGTGACAGTCTTCAAGGTTGGGTTGGAAGCCAATTTTTCTGAAGTAAATGGTTGTTAAACGAACATTTATAAATTGAAGACTATCTGTATAGTTCTTCTCAGTTCATCTAAGGGCCAGTGTATACATTGAAACCTTCATTTAGAGGCTACTAAAAAGGTCTTCCTTTTGGAGCATTCAATATTTCAGACAATATTTAATCATTTATATTCCTTCAGTTTTTCAGCAAATCCAGCAAATCTTTCTCCATATACTTGGCTGAGCTAGTGCGCGCTTTCTCCTTGACTCAGTACACAAGATGTCAGAACTTTTAAAGAACCCTTGCTTTAAAAACAATTTTTAAAAAGCTTTGGCCAACATGTATTTATTTACAAACATCCTCATATCAAGCTAAAAATCAGCTCTGACTGCTATAAAGCAATGTGCATTTCTACCAATAATTTGGAGCATGTCCACCCTTCCTTAATATTTAGCACTACTAGATGACCTACAAGGTCCCTTCCAACTCTGTTAATCTGTATTCTGTATTTAGGTAGATAAAATAACATTCTACCTTAAAGACAGCTCCGGGTCTTCTAAATCCTTTTAAAATGAAGACTGCAATGTTCTTGTAATTCTTGTAAACAGCTGCAAGTTGCAAGACTATATTACTCTGTTGTGACTGAAGCTATTACGCTGCTAATTTTATCCATGTCTACAGTCATCATATCAAAGGTAATGAAGTTTATGAAATTTATCAGTAAAGATAAATTTCAGCCTTCTCTGTTGCAACTCCGGCCCTCTGGAACGAGCTCCCCGTGGAAATCCGGACCCTTACTACCCTCCCGGCCTTCCATAAAGCTACCAAGTCCTGGCTGTTCCGGCAGGCTGGTGGCTATTGAAGTATCCAGCCCCACTTCATCCGTGAATGTTGTCGTATTTTAAATTGTTGTATTGTCTTGTATTGTCTTATTTATCCCCTTTCCCTGTTTTATTGTAAGCTGCCCAGAGTCCTTCAGGAGTGGGCGGCATACAAAACCAATAAATGAATGAATGAAATGAATGAAGATCATCATAGTCTAATCGTACTTCTATAGAAAAGCCCTAAAGTTTTCAGAAGGAATCCAATGATCTTTTTGTTATTTTAGGATAACTGTTTCAGTAATTTAGATTATATATTATTGATTTATTGCAAAGTACTTTGATTGTTGTGAGCCACCCACAGTTGAAAGTTGGATGACACACACGTTAAGTAAATAATAATTGACTTTCTAATATTTAATGTTCTTGATCTCCATCACAATCATGCATATCACACCATGTCACTGAAATATGTCAATCTCTTTCATATTATATATGCTAACAACAGAGAGCTGCTTTAGTCTAGTAAAGTTGCTATGATGAAAATGAGGGGATAGAAAAAACATTTAAAGTTGGGCAGATAACAAAGCAAAGCTGCAGAATGTAACATTCAACAATGGAACTGAAAAATCGTAAGCGGAGCACATGGCTGCTTCATTGTGTCACACATTACTTACAATTTCAAGCAGCCCACACTCAGCTTTATTAGATTATGCTACAGTATTTTCTCAGAATATGCCATCATCTGCTATGGTAAAAATAAGCTGGTATCACCCTGATCCACACACGAAAAATGATCTAATTTATGATGGCAAGGTAAATGAAAGCTGCAGAATCACTGCAAGTCTTCTTCAAACTGAGCTTGATTCATAGTGACTTTGTGGAGATAGTCATATATTTTCCCTTAATAACAATATAGAAAAGTTTGTCACTACCTTCTGGGATTCCTTTTCAGCTTCCCAGTCTAGCCTACAGCTTTGATATTCCCAAGAGATCTCTCTTCCAAATACTAATTGGATCCAATCCTGCTTAGTTCCAAGCCTAAGTCAGTCAGGAACTGCTGCTTGGCTGAGAAGCCAAAGCACAATATTTTTTTTTTCCAATTGCCAATGAACTGAGTTAAATTGAACCATCTGTGCCAGAAATAAATTTTAAAAAATTGTTTCAAAAGAAGGGTCCTCATTCAGTTTGCTGATTGTTACTGTCACGTGGATTTAAGCCAAGCCTATCTCTTTGCATTAGTGGTTGTTGCTTTGTAAGAAAAATGAGACACATTTTGGAACGTTGCGTTGTATCATTGCCATTTTTTGTATTTATATATTAAGAGCTAAACTAATACTGATCATCCAATGATTCTCAAATACATGCATGATACAATCTATCCCAAAATATTAATATCTTTAACTTGATAAGTCTGAATTGGTATCTTACACATATAACTATGAAATGCACAATAATACAATGCAAACACTTCCCCCTTAATTTTTTTACCTACTGGGTCCATCAAAAGATATATACATATGTTCTTCAGAATAAAAAAAATCTGATGCAAAACGTGAAAACTACTGTTGAGTGTGGAAGATTAATAAGAATTTATTACAAAACTATTTTGTATCTTCTATGTATATAATCAACAGTTTTCAAAACAGGAATGGTTTTACAAAAAAAAAATCTTCTGGGAAAAAATGGTACTACATAAAGATTAAAATAGCAGTTTTAGTTCTACCTGATTTTTGTTTCTATGTCTGTCAAAGAAGCATTTTGTTTCTGGACCACAACCTACTGTTGGGGTTACACTCCTGTCACTCTAGTGGATCCACTGGTTGGAGCAACTACAAGCTATCCGTGTCACAATTATCCATAATAACCATGTGTAACTCCAGAGCAATGTCAAACAGCATGAAACGGACTTCTGAGGGCAGAGTCAGTATCAAACTGGAGATGCTGAGATCCTGAAAACACCTGTGGTAGATACCAAACACCTGCACCAAATTATTCTTACATCTTACATCAAACCATAAACACTAGTTAAGAATAAGGAAAGAGGAAAGCCTTATGAACTTGTTCTTTACCCATGTGCTGAGGTTCCCATGTGAGAGATACTTATGTTAGGTGACATTAAGATAGGCGGTTGCAACTATGATCACTTTTCCAATAAAAAGAGAGAGGAAAATATTCTGCCCCAACTCAGAGTATGCAAATTCTGGTGTATTTCCAATCAGCTTTTAATAAACAAAAGTTGGGGTAGTAAGTACATATTAGTATTTCTTTGTGTTAGCACTATTGTTAAGTTACTAACATACTTGTTAAGTGAATCTGGCTTCCCCTTTTACTTTGCTTGTCAAAAAGGTCACAAAAGGTGTTCACATGACTCAGAGTCACTGCAAACATCATAAATAAGAATCAGTTGCCAAGCATCCGAATTTTAATCATGGAACCATGGGGTTGCTACAATGGTTGTGAGTGTGAAAAACGGTCATAAGTCATTTGCTTCAGTGCCTTTGTAAGTTTGAACTGTCATTAAATGAACTGTTGTAAGTCGAGGAGACCTGTAACACATTTTTCAATAGAATAAGTCATAGAAAACTGATTAATGTTAATTATTTTACCTTGTGGCCCATACTGGCTCATCTGAGCTCCATAAGTACCACTTGAATTACTTTGTGGAAAGCTCCCAATTCCAGAATGCATTTGACCTCCAGGTGAAGGATGGGGTGACATAGAAGGTCCAGTCTGCTGAGATGCATATTGTGACAATTGAGGGTTTCTTTGAATGCTTGTCATAAAACCTAAAGTTAAATAGACATGATAGAGAGAAAAATTAGGGACCTCCCTATCATTAACTTAAATTAAGGTAAATATTGAATGTTGTTAGTACTTTTTTTTTTTAATCTCATGACATTTAAGTTGAGAAGGAATTATATAGTATACTATATATATATATAGTTTAAATCTTGGAATTATACATGGCATTATAACTATAGCAGTAACGCTGTGGTTTGGACTTTATCACATCTACACAAATAAGACAATGTTATACAAAGATGATTAATAAATCTTAAAATAAAATTAGATGAGAAGACAGGAAATTCTAATTATACTTAATAACAATTTCTCAAACATACTTTTTGCAAATCCCGTCCAACCTATATGAGAAATATGACAGAATATGACACAATAGACATTCCTAAAATTTGTCTGGTATCCATTGTTCATCTTCTGCCTTTATAACCAAAAGGCTGCCATTATTGTCCTATTCTCTATTTTGGGAGTTGGGTCCACTGTTATTACCCCCCGCCCTCCCCCCAAAAAAACTGCTTTAGGAATGCTTAGGGCATGATTAAAGGGAGAATCTCAACCATATATTAACAATTCATATGGAGAAGATCATGGTTTTGCTACTTCCATATGAATTATTAATATGAATTTGAGTAGACCTTTGCATCATGTCACACCTACTAATTTTGCCTGCTTTTGTCCTCTACCATAATACAAGACCAGTGAATACCTCATTTCAAAAAATGATGCTTATCCCTGCTTTAAATGTAGTGCTAAAAACAAAAAACCAAAGTTCTTTGGTTAATGTTAAGACATACGAATATTAATTTTACATTTTAGTCAAATACTGTAATTTATCACAGAAAAATTATACAGCGAGTTCTCAACTCTGAAAATACTTTTGGACATTTGAGTTCATTCAATCGATCACCCATCAAATGCAATGCACACACGCACTCTGGTCTGACAGATTAAATAAGATATATTCTTGTGATATTTTTATATCACTTTTGACTGAGTTGATGCATTGTTGCTAGGAAAAAAAAATTGCATTTGGTCTGCTGTCTCCATCTCACTATTGGTTTTATTTATTACTGAATTTATACTTCTCTTTTCAGCCTATCTATAGCCTCAATGTGACTTACACAAATTTAACTGAAATGGACATTTAAAACCAACACCAGCACAATAGAATTGAAATAAATATCAATTAAAAGCTTAAGAAAAATGTCATGCTGTTGTGACTTTCCTAAATACAGGGAAAAAAGGAGTCAACCTTGGGGAGTGTATTCCACAGCCTAGAAGCATTATAGATGAAGCCAATGTTCCATGTACATGACAGATGAACCATGAAGGACAGGCACTATTCCAATAACAAGAGAAGGAAAAAGTCTCCCAAACAGCTGATTCTGTAAAGTGCAATCCCACATCCCAAACTGATTCCATTCAAGCATTACCAATATTATATTGACTTCTTGGGAGTTAATTTCAGTTCCTTAATCTAGATCATCATTAAACTAGGCAACATTCAAGAAGATTGATTACTTTCTTGGGGCTGGTGACTGCGACATTGGTTGCCATCAGGATATTGATGTAATTGCATTCCAAAGCTTCAAATGAACACCATTAACTATTTCATTTAGACGTTAAGCACCATAGAAGACATCACATGCCTATAGTGTCCCAGCACCCTTTTTTAGGTAGGAACCATGCTCACATGGATCTAGTGTCTTTAGATCCAAACCCACTAGTGTCTCAGAAAGATATCCTACTTGATAACATTAAAATTGCTGAGAGATCCTGGAAAGCAAGCTGGGTCATACTAACAAAATCTACATCAAGGTGTGACCAAAGCTGCTTCAGTATTGGCCACCACTTTCTCAATCACTATATCTAAGAAAATAATTATTTAAGAGTAGTAAGGCAGGACATTTTTTAAAAAAATCAAGGAGACACTGAACAATTCCTTCAATGGCCACAGGGTCAAACTAAAACCTGGCCAATTTAAAGGCAAAGTCTGAGCAACCAGAAGATGGCCTTTAGCTCTCCATATATTATGTCGCTGTCCTGAAGAAATAAAAGCTGAAAAGCATTCCATATGAACAGGATAAGCAGTTATCAAGGTATCTAAAAAGGTACCCTATGATCTACATCAACAGTGGAAACTGCTGCAAATCTGATCAATTTCATTTGAAAAGCATGTAGAAAATTGTTTCAACATTTCTGGATTATATCCCCCAATATCTTGATGGATATGCCATACAGTGAGAAAAAGCATCACTATTCGGTTGAGTCATTGCAGACTCAACCGAGGTCAATAAATTTGCCCTGTTTAATTGCTGTGACTAGTGCTGTTTTCTTTTTTGGCTAAACCATTTAAAGCACCCCAACTCCATGTTTGATTTACTGTAATTCTTCCTGAAAATTCCTTCATTTGCATTTCCATCTGCATTATGGATTATGTTACATTTCTCCACTACAGCCATTTCCTTACTAATTTCATTACACTAATTTGTTAGTACATCAAGATGTGTCTTGAGTTCCGTTACAACTAGTTGTACTTAGAAGCATTAGTGTCAACTGTTAGGGCCTTCTCTGTATTCCACAAATTGGCCTGGTCTTCAATAGAACTGCTAACATCTATATAGGGGTATATGCTAATCTAAACAGCATAGACAGAATGTAAACTGTCTTTGAAAAAGCTCCTCCACTATCAGATCATTAGTATAGAAGTTTTAATCCTAATCCTGCTTTGAGAAAACTATTTTTCATACATGTCTTAAACAAAACATGAGCACTTGGAGAATCAAGCTACGAAAGGAAAGTCATAGAAGTCACTAGAAGTATTGTGTCCAAAAGCAGGATTATCTTAATTAATGTTTCAGTTATATTGTGTTTTAATCCTAATAAAGAGTTAAATTTCACCAATATGTCACTCTCTCTGTATACATCAGTTGTTCATATATAACTTTTCCTAGAGCTCTGCTAATAAAGCAAAGTTCCCAGAGCTCTGAATTTATACATTTATAAAACAATGGGGGGAAAACTATATGAGGAAGACATGGAAAATGGAAGTGAAAACATTCTGAATAATTAAGACTCCTAATATTTCACACAAACATTCCTTGCTAAGCAACACTATTTGCAAGAAAGTACTTGAATATAAAAAGCTATTTTGATCTGCCAACTACAGTCACAGTCCCTTACAAATATAATATTTTACATATTTCAGTGATAATTTTTGATTTACTACTGAATCTGTTGGCACCTAATGACAGTCCTTCTTGGACTAAGAAAATCAAACATGAGGCTGATAAATATATTCTAGCATGCACACTATTATTAAATGTACATTAATAGTAATCAAATCTGAACAATCCGGTGAATGAGAAGATACTGATAACAAACACATGAGGCTTCAACAACAATGAATTTTGATGCAAAAGGTCTAGTAGGCTTAAATGTTGAAAGCTTAACTATCATAGGACAAAAAGCAATTCTAAAAGCAAGTTCAGATGGATTGGCCGGTTGTGAAATACTGTAGTTACAAACATTCAAAAGAGTTTATCTCCTCAGAATATAAGGTACCTTAAATGATATTTATGGAAGACAGATTAGATCATTAGCAAAACATTATCTTTTAAACATTTGCATTAATAGAGCACTTGCCTCACTGGATAAGATACCGTAGAAGATATATTATAAAATCAATTGGAAAAGAATCCAAGAAGCAGTGGGAAAGGAAGGCAGGCGCTCTCTTAACTAAGTCCCTAATAGTACACTATCAACCACTTCACAAAATGTCAAATTCTGAATTTTAAAACCAGGGAAGATGAGGCTATAAATGATTATGGGAAGAAAAACCAGGTCAATGCAAATCCTGACTCATCACTTTCACCTTACTGACACCTCTCCCTGCCCCCCCCCCACCTTTGCTTTCCAGTTATTTTATTTTTGCTGGTACAGCAGCCACAGAAATTAAGGATTTTTGGCAAGCAATTTTATTAGCTAACATAAACTTCAAGCTGTTCTAGTGGGCATTTTTGGGTAGTAGTAAGCCAATAAAAATTCACTGGGCTACACTAACAAACTTTTTGTTCAGCACCCTGAACATTTAAATAACGATTGCTAAGATTTGCATCTTGCTGACACAGCTTTTTGCATAAATTCAACTAAAGATGCTTTAAAAATGCTTCTTTGGTGAAATAACTCTCACATAGCTTGTCATCTTTGCACATTTGTCTTCCACTGAAAAGGCTGCTTAGAATGCTAAATTTGTTGAGACTAGAGACGTTTGTTCTATGATATATTTTAAAATCCTCTATTTTAATTCTGTATTCGGTCTTTGGTCTTTGTTTGTTTATTCATTCTTCTTCACAAACTGAATTCCTTTGGTGAAGGCAGAAAATAATGACCCAACTAAAGCTTTAGCCAAGGCCCCCTGGAGTTCCACCAGCTGTGCTATTAAGTTAAGTGGCTAAATCTTTCAACCAATTCTCTTTCTGATAGGACAAAAACCTCATCTACATACAGCAGCAATGATATTTAAATATATACCTCCTTTTTTATTTTCTTCCTGCCTAATCCTTAAAATTATCATATATCATTGATAAATTGGAATTGGAGGAAGGCTTAGATAGATCCCCCAGATGGTAGTTTGGGAAGAAAAATCCAAATTTTCCTCATACAAATCTTACTTAATGATGTTGAGTAAAATGTAAAGCAATGCACAAAGGGAGTTATATTAAAATTATATTCTATGGCCTAAGTGCAGGACTTTATTTTTCTCACCACAGAACTGCATCTTGGATGGTGTCCAATGCTCAAATCAAGATTCTTCTGAATCCTGAGTCTGTCTTCTAAAGTGTTGTCAATTCTGCCCAGCTTGATGTTGTCTGCAAATTTGATGAGCTCCCCTGCTAGCCCCTTGCCTAAATCATTTATGAAATTTTGAAGTGTACTGGGCCTAAGACGAAGCCTTGGGGTACCCCATTGCATGCTTCCTCCCATG